TCTCTGTCTTTCCGGTGAGTGTATGCACCCTATGGCAAAAACTCCCCCCCCCAAAAAAAAAATAGACACAGTGACCAATGGAACAAAGCAGAGAATCCAGAAATAAATGGCAAGTCATACAACCAGCTGATCTTTGATAATGGGTACAAAGTGGAGAAAAGAAAGTTTTTTCAACAAATGTGCTCTCTGTGGAGAAAAGAAAGTTTTTTCAGCAAAGGTGCTAAAGGACTAGATATCCACTTGCAGAAAAGTGAAACAGGATCCATATCTCTCACTGTTAGCAAGAATCAACTCAAAATGGATCAAAGATTTAAATGTAAAGCCTCAAACTATAAAACTACTGGTAGAAAACTTAGGGGAAACTCTTGAAAACTTTGGAGTAATCAAAGATTTCTTAAGTAAGACCTAAATCACAGGCTGTAATCCCAAAAGTAGACAAGTGAGATTTTATCAAGCTAAAAAATTTCTGCACAGCAAAGGAAACAACAATTTGAGCGAAGAGACAACACATAGAATGTGAGAAAATATTTGCAAATCATGCCTCAGATAAGGGATTGATAACCAGAATATATAGGGAACTCAAGCAGCTCACCTATGAAGAAATGAATAAAACAATTTAACAATGAGGAAGACATACAAATGGCCAAAAAGCATATGAAAACATGTTCAGAGTCTCTTCCATAGCCGAATGCAAATTAAAATCACAGTGAGATACCATTTAACCCCAGTTAGAATGGCTAGATTCCAAAAAAAAAAAAGACAAATACCAACACTGTGGTGAAAAGGGAATTCGTCTTAGACTGCTGATGGGAATGTAAATTAGTACAACCCTTATGGAAAAGAAAATGGAGATTCTTCAAAAACCTACAAATAGATCTATAGTATGACTGAGTAATCCTTTTCCTTGATATTTACCCAAAGGATCGAAAAAGAGTCAGAAACACACTTGCATGTCCATATTTATTGCAGCAATATCCACAATTGCTAAGACATGGAATCAGCTTAACTGTCTCAGAACTGATGACTGGTTTATAAAACTGTAAAATATACATACTATAGGATATTTCTCAACCATAAGAAACAAATGAGACCCTGTCATTTGATTCAATGTGGATAAATATAGAAGACTCGATGTTAATCAGAGTAAGCCAGATTTTGAAAGACACACACTGTATATTCCTGCTCAATATGTATTGAATGTCTACAGTCTATAGCCAAAATGGAAAGATCCAAAGCTATGATAGTAGAGAGGATAAGTTTAGATACCAGAGACAGTAAGAGAGGAGAGTTAAGTGGTAGAGAGTGTGTGGTAGAGGGTAACTGGGAAGGGCAAAAGGAAGAAACATTTGACAGACTAAAGAATGTAAAGATCTGTTGGGAAAAAATTTGTAATTTTTGTTTTATATTTTAAAAAAAGATGAATATGCACTTGACAAAAGAAGATTCATGAATAATAATTAACATGTAAGGAATTCAATGGAAGTTATTCTGTAGTCATCATGGAAATGTAAACTACGACCATAGGACTCACTCAAGAAAATAGCTAAAATTAAAGGGGCTGATCATTTTAATTTGGGCAAGTTTATAGTGTGCCCACTGTTCTCTTGTATTGCTAGTAAAGGTGTAAACTTAAGAACTGGCAGTATCTACAGACACTAAGCATACAAATACCTGTGATTTAGCAATTCTACTCTTACTTAACGGGAATCATATATGTTAACTAAAAGCCCTGTACTAGATTGTTCATGGCAGCATTACTTAAAATCCCTAAAAGTGGGTATCTCAAATGTTTATCAATAGGAAGATGGATAAACCAAGGTAAATGAAATATTACTTAGCAATAAAAATATATCAATCTTGGCTGCATGCAACAACATGGATGAATTTCATGAATAAGATGTTGAAAAAGAGCCAGACATAATAATACTTACTGCGTTATTTCATTTATATAAAATTCAAAGACAGGCAAAAATAACCGGTGGTATTAGAAGTTATGATAGTGATAGTTAGAAGGGTTCAGTTTGGGGATCCATACAAGATTCAGAAATACTGGTAAAAATACTGGCTTCATAATCTTGGTGGTAGTTATCTAGGTGTATTTACTTCACGATAATTCATAAAGCTGGGTTTACATGATTTGTACACTCCTGTGTGTTATGTTACCTTAAGAATTTTAAGTAAGGGAACCAGCAGTTAGCGTAATGGCTATGTCGCTGGACTCCCACGTAGTCGACTGTGGTTCGTGTCCCGTACCCGGTGGCTTAAAACTCACGCCGGGCGCGTGTGTGTGCGTGCCCAAGATCCCGAGAGGAGAATGGAGGAGAAGGGATTGCGGCGTGACCATCCCCCCTGGGGGGTGATTTCTCGCTTTCTGTCTCTATGTCTGTCTCTGTCTGTCTGGCGAGCGCACGCGCCCTACAGTGAAAATCTCTCTCAATTAAAAAAAAAAAAAAAGAATTTTAAGTAATAGTAGTTCCCCTACTAGCAAATGACATATTAAGTTATATACATTAATAATATGTTAATAATTGGTATTGTTTGAGAAAGTGATCACAGGCTTGCCTTGTTGCCTAATGGTTAAAGCAGCTGAATCGCACATGGCCTACTTTAGTTCAAGTCTTGGCTCTGGCAGCTTGAAAAACACACCAGGAATATGTGCCCCAAATCCCAACAGAGTGGAGAAATGAAGACATTGTGGCATGATCACACCCTATTGTGGTTCTCTCTCTCTTTCTCTCCCTCTCTCCCTCTCTTTCTCCATTTTTTCTCTCTCTGGCTTTCTGGTGAGCATATGTGCATGGAATTTTTTTTTTTTTAAACTCAAATGGATATTATTAACTACTCATGTCTCCTATCATGCTTTTAGGTTGATTCTGTTTTGCCTCTGTGTGTGCTTACATATGAGTGTGTGTGTCTGCAGCATATAGTATTACTTTAAAATAACACCAATAAATTTTGGAAATAACCTTTTGTCTTATTTATAAACTTGGTCTAGAAAACGATTTAATTAAGTAATTTAACTTTTTAACTATGTATCCCCAATAACAGACACTGAATCATAAATGAAAGGAATTCCAGCTATTTGGGCATGGAAATATTTTTTTTAGCTTGATAATTAATTAATCATTCACTTAGTGACAACTCAGACACCTATTTATCTCACCCTGGGCTTAATCTACTCATTGACACTATTTATACTACCTGCCTCATCTCTTATCTCTCCCTGCTTCACTCCGTTCCAAAAACTGTCCTGATCTTGCTGTTTTACCAGCATTCCAAGCACGTTCTGCCTCAGCCCCTTTTCTTTTTTTTTTTGGAGAGATTTTTTTTCGCTGTAGGGTGCGTGCGCTTGCCAGACAGAGAGAGACATAGAGAGAGAAAGCGAGAAATCACCCCCCAGGGGGGATGGTCACGCCGCAATCCCTTCTTCTCCATTCTCCTCTCGGGATCTTGGGCACGCACGCACGCACATGTGCCCGGCGTGAGTTTTAAGCCACTGGGTCGGGGACGCGAACCGAAGTCGACTACGTGGGAGTCCAGCGACATAGCCATTACGCTAACTGCTGGTTCCCAGCCCCTTTTCTGAGACTGTTGCTCAGACCTGCATTTCCACATATCTTTCTTAGATGCTGTCTCAGTATATTCAGATATCTGTTTAAATCCCACCTCAAAGATACATTCTCTGACTCCTCCTTCTCTATTAATCCCCATGATTTTAAAATTCTCATTCCATGATTCACTTTTTTATAGACCCATCATGACCCAGTTCTATTTTGTTTATATATTGTATATTCGTCAGTAAATATAAGCTCTATGAAGGCAGGGGCTACCTTGCTTTTCTTTTCTACTGTACTTCCAGCACTCAGAATTATGACAGAAACGTAATGCGTACAGTATAAATATTCGTAGTTAGAATGAATGGATGGAGAGACCAGCAATTAGCGTAATTGTTATATCGCTGAACTCCCATGTAGCCGATCACGGTTCTAGTCCCGGACCCGGTGGCTTAAACTCATGTCGGGTGCCTGTGCGTGTATGCCCAGGATCCCGAGAGGAGAATGGAGGATTGCAGTGTGGCCATCACCCCTGGAGGGTGATTTCTCGCTTTCTGTCTCTCTGTCTTTCTGGTGAGTGCACACGTGCACACGCAAAAAGTTATCAAAAAAAAAAAAAAATGAATGGATGGATGAATGAAATATAATGAGTAGTATCAGTATGCATGGCTGAGCCCTCAGTCAATGCGGCAAAATTAATTTATTTCTTTTCTAAGCAAATGTAGTAATTTGGTTAGTTTGCTCTCTTTATAGGGATTGGTGGTAATTTTTAAGTAAGCTCTAAAATTTTTTGTGTTACATCAAAATGCAGTTTATTTTTACTAGTATACATTTAGGCGTTAGGGATATAATTATAAGGAAAACAAGGATATTTATAATAGTCCACTTGAGAATTCTACACCACTTTAGGATTTATTACCATTTTCAGATGTAAAATAATACACCCTTAAATAATTATAAGTAATTCATCCAAATCACATTCTCTTTTTAGAAATACCTAACTAAAAAAATCAAGATATTTTCTGAATAATCTTTTTTGCCCTCACATCACACATGTGAAATTTTTGTCTTCTCTTTTGTAAAAATGCTCCCATCTTTACTGCCCTTGTGACACTTGGAGTTTATAAATTTTGCCCACTTCTATTATCTAACTTTTAAGTAAGCACTAACATTATTTGACAGGATTCTAAACTTGTTATTACTCTTTAAAGGAGAAAAAGAGAAAGAAGGGAATAATATACATAGTATTTAACTTTGGCTTTTATAAAATAAATGACTAAAAATAATATTTGTTCCAAATTGTCTTTGTTTTTGATAGTTTAAAAATATTGTAGTAACTGCTCATATACCACATAGAGTTGTAGGTTTATATTGATTTTGTTTGATTTCCTATTTATATCTGTTTCTACCCCTCCTTACTTTTTTTTTTTTTTTTTTTTTTTTAAGAATCCAACTCAGGTTGGAACAGCTCTTCAGGTTTTCCATAATCTTGGAACTTTGAAGGATACTATTACCAGTGTCGTGGATGGATATTGTGCTACTTTAGAAGAAAATATAAACAGTGCATTAGACATCAAAGTTTTGACTCAGCCTTCCCAGTCAGCTGTGAGAGGTATGGATCTGGTTTATGTTTAGCTTCTTTGTTTATTTATAACTGAGAAGTCCTTTGAATAGTATGTAAAACACTCATGTTTCGAAGCAATCAAATGACTCATTTTTTTTTTTAGTAGACAGAAAATGAGAGAAGAAATTATGTTTCAGAATTTATTTATAACTTTTTTGTCTAATCAGTGAGTTGAACTGGCCAATTGGTATATTCATAACTTCTAGATAAAGATCTATAAATGGTGGCATCATCATTTAGTTGAGAGGAAACAGATGCAGGGGGGAAAAAAAGGAAAGGAACATTATTCCCCCTAAAATCATTATCCTCACATGTACTTCTTCATTAGACAAATTTTTTTTTTTTTTTAGGGAATGCACATTCAACCATAGCTTTCTGGACTGTGGCAATTTTTTTTTTATTTCTTTTTATCTCATTCAACTTACTCATGAATTACTTATTTCAGTGTTACTTAAGGTCAGTTCTGATTCTTATGGTCAATCTTTATGATAACTACAGTACTCAGGAACAATAATGGCTAACAGTGGAGATTGAAACCAGTAAAACCGTTAGGAGCATAGCAGTAGCCAAGTCTAACGAATACTGCTTAGGAGGGTAATTGGAGGGCAGAGAGGAGTACGCCCTACATTATCAGTCTGCGTCATGACATACCTGATGATGATACTCACATTTATAACACACTTCTCCGTAGAAGACAGAAAAGACCACACATTGTGTGCCTTCTCACTTAACGTGCTGTAAGCCCATCGCTCATTTCTCCCCTCATGTTTTTTCTTGTCTCCGGTTAGTACTGATAACTGTGTTTTCTCTTAGGAGGCCAAACACCCTACTTTGGCAGCAGATCTCATCACTATACCCTTCACTCTGCCAGATTGTAAATTCTTCCTTCTTTCCCTTCAGACACAAGTATGCTATTGTTTCTCCTTCTGCCTAAAAACTATCAAACAAATCTAACTTGATTCCATTTCTTCCTTCTGTTCTATTTTATTCTACAGTCCACAGAAAAATTGTCCAAAGTGTTAATTCATACCTGTCTCCAGTTTTTCTCTTCTAATTTTTCTATTAAAGATACTCTTATCACCACAAGATTGTCTTAAAGGATAAATGAAATAATCCATGTAGAATGAATAACAGTTCCTGATACATGGCTAATATGGAAAAAAAAATTTTACAGCCATTTTTTAAAATATTTGCCATATAAATGTGACCTTAAATAACCTGAACATATTAACTCATAAGTAAGTTGCACTAGATAAAAAGAGAGAAAATAATCTTAGATCTTAAAGAGATTTTTTTTTAAAGGTTAGTCCTAGTCTCTGACTAGGTCTGTATTAAGACTATTCCATAAGGAGATCTTTGAAAAGAAATTGCCAAAGGAGATCTTACTCTCAGTTTTTCCCAGCAATTATTCTCAAAAAGTTTGATCTAATGTTTAAATTTCCAGGAGCAGTTTAATCTCATTTCTTCTTGTGTTGTCAAGGATAGGGGAGAAAAAAAATGAAAGCAATTATTCACATGCTGTCAATCCTAATGTATGCCTCTTTTTTTGAAAGAATAAAGAGTTTTAAAGCTACCTTATTATCATCTGTTGAGGAGTGCATACTGTGATTTAATGTAGAACCTTAAGAAGCAGTTCTTTTTTTTTTTTTTGAAAGAACAATCACTATTATTTTTGTGTTTTTTAATGTTTCATAGGCAGTATTAATGTTACCTTCCTGATCTTTTTGGTGATACTGAGATTGTGTCAGAGAATGTCCTTATTGAAAATACACATTAAAGTATTAAGAGTGATGGGGCATCTTGTCAGTAACTAATTTATAGGTAGGTCAGGGGAAAACAGTTTTTAATAATACTTAAAATTTTTCCATAGGGACCAGCACTTGGCCTAATGGCTATGTTGCTGGACTCCCATGTAGTCGACTGCAGTTTGAGTCCCAGACTCAGTGGCTTAAACTCAGGCCAGGTGCATGTGCACACTTGCCCAAGATCCAGAGAGGAGAATGGAGAAGAGATTGTGGCATGGCCATCCCCCCAGGTGGTGATTTCTCGCTTTCTGTCTCTCTGTCTCTCTCTGTCTTTCTGGCGAGTGCACCCACCCTATAGCAAAAACCTCTCAAAAAATTTTTTTTCTATAAATTTGAGATTTTCAAAATTTTAAATATAGATGAAATATACAATTTTACAAGAAAAATATTACCTTGGATATATTTTTAAAGCTTATAATTCAATAAGAAAAAGATAAAATAAACTCAACTGAATAAAGAGATAAACTGTATGCAGAACACAACCAATAAATATGTGAAAAGATGTTCCATTTCTTTCTAGGAAATAAAATAGTTATCAGGGAAATATGAAGTAAACACCAGATTAGCAAAATCAAAGACAGATGAAAGCAGAAATCATTTTACTCAATTTTTATCAATTGACTCTCTAAGATTAAAAATGCATATACCTGGGACCAACAGGTACCATGGTGGTTAATGCAATAGATCTTCACATGGCTGACCATTGTTGGAGTGTCAGACCCAACAACTTGAAAATCCTCTGGGTGCATGTGCCAAGATCCCAAGTGGAGAATGGAGAAGGGATTGCAGCATGGCCATTCTCCTGGGGGTTGATTTTTTTCTCTCTCTCTCCAGTGAGCTCAGGCGCCCTGTGGTCAAAACCTAAAACCAAAAATGAATAAAAACATACCCGTAATTTCTCTTATAACAATATACCTAGGGAAACTGGCACATGTCCATAAGAATTTTGAATTCACTATTGTTTATGATAGCAAAAAAAAGTGAAAACCACCTTTCCTTTGACAGAGAAATGAATAAACTATTTTTTTTTTCTTTTTCTTTTTGGAGAGATTTTCACTATAGGGCACGTGTGCTTGCCAGAAAGACAGAGAAAGACATAGAGACAGAAAGCGAGAAATCACGCTCCGGGGGGTTGGCCAAACTGCAATCCCTTCTCCTCCATTCTCTTCTCAGGATCTTGGGCACACACACACACACACACACACACACACACACACACCTGGCATGAGTTTAAGCCACCAGGTCCAGGACTCGGAACCACGGTAGACTACATGGGAGTCTAGCGACATAGCCATACCGCTAACTGCTGGTCCCAAGAAATGAATAAACTATTAAGTAGATTACTGCATAGCATTTAAATTAGTAAATTTACCAATGTAACCCATTCTTGAAAACAGTATATGGAAAAGTAAGCTCCCAAAGATACTGTAGGTTACCATATTTAAAGTCCCAGAACCTGTCAGACCCTACTATAATGTGTATTGTTTTGCACATGCACATAAGTAATGTACATGTAAATAGATGTTTTGGAATGCTAATCACCAAATTCAAGATGCCATTAGCTCTTTGGGAGATCAGGGGAAGTGGTAGCAGGAAGGGAGATGGGAGAACAGCACTTTATTTGATGTTGTGTTTCTTAAGCTTGGTGGCCAGTATGCATAACGTTATTGTATATGCTTTTTAGTATGCCTGAAACATTTAACAATAAAACACAAATGTTATGTGAAGAAAGTACTGAAGAAAAACAGTATGAAGGAAGCAGACAAACGTTTACAGATATAACATTGATAGGTTAATATTTTTTAATATAATTCGTATCCAAACATTTTCAGTTCTCCAAAATATTCTTTAACCATTTTTCCCCTGACTGGAACCAATTAGTGATCATACGTTTCCATTGGTTATCTTGTTTCTCTGCCTTCCTTTAATGAAAAACAGTCCCTTTTTTTTTTTTTTATGGCATTTGGAGAGACCTATTATCTGAATTTGTCTGATTGTTGCTTCATGATTAGATTCAAGGTAAACATACTAGTACTAAGGTGAGGTCATGTATTTCCTGTTACATCATATCAGGAAACAACTGAATTATTTACTAAATTAAATTATTACTCACTATTAGTAATGCTTAATAAGATCACTTTGTCAAAGTAGTGTTCCAGAGCCCTTGTAAAAGTACTCTCCCTCTTTTTTAAAAACTGTTTGATTTTCTTATTGAGAGAAAGAGAAATAGAGGCAGAGGCAGAGGGAGAAACATGCACCCTTGACAGGATCCTTACATCACAGTCCTCAGCTAGGCAGAATAATAGGCACCCTTTTTGGTGCATCCTGTATGTTGAGAGAGACCTGGGGTAGGAACCTGAAATCCTTACCTGTGATCTCCACCATCATGCAGCAGAGTCCCCAGTGCCTGCACCACCTCAGCTGGGCTCTCTTTTCTTTGTAATTTATGGTGCAGTCTTTGAAGCCATGAGAATATCTTGTTTCTCATAAAATTTTACCAAATGTTTTGATATCCATTATTAATCTTTCCCTCTATTCACTGGTAGTTGAAAAATGGTAACTTCCCCCCAGGTCTGTCATTTTTTTTTTTTCATTTCTTAACTGACACGCTTTTGTAAAGAGCAATTGCTATCCTTTCTAAATGCTGGAGTTTCACTATGAAACCATGAATTATTGTTACTATCTTTTTTAATGGTGTGTGTGTGTGTGTGTGTGTGTGTGTGTGTGTGTTACTCCTGCTTCAGCTGCTTAAGTAGCTGAGTCCACAGGCACAGTCATCATGCCTGCCTAGCTTTTTAGGGGGCGCCAGGAATCAAACCCAGGCTGTTAGGTGACCCTAGCCTACCAAACAGCAGCATCCAGAATGACTTATCATGGCTTGCCATTGATTATTTCTAAAATTTTTTGTCATATAATCCATTATCATCAGTATTATTTTGGATTGCCAAGTTCCTAAATATTTTTATTGTGGAAGCTCCTCCAGTGAAGTTCTACTATAATATTTACCACATTCATTTTGTATTTTCTCTGCTTCAGAGACACTGCGACAATGTGTGTGTGCATGTATATATGTGTTGTTTCACTTATTTTTCTAAAGAGTCACAGTGTTTTGTTTTAATTTGTCAGTGTGTGTGTGCACTTACTGGAAAGCTATGGGGGTGGCGGGAGGGAATGAGAAAGCACCCCCCCACACCCCTGTTCCATAAGGGCATGGTCATGCCACTATCCCTTTGCCTCATCTGTCCCTCCATTTGAGATTTTGGGCATGCATGCACATGTGCCTAGTGCGTTTCTTAAGCCACAGGGTCTGGGACTCAAATCATGAAGTTGTTTCTGTGGGGTCCAACTGCCTTAAACACCTCTCCATGGGCTGGCTCAGGCCTTTTTTAAAATTAGAGAATGGTGCTTAGAAATCAAAATTTGGGGAACCAGCAGTTAGCATAATGGCTATGTCGCTGGACTCCCACGTAGTTGACCGCGGTTCGCGTCCCGGACCCGGTGACTTAAAACTCATGCCAGGCACGTGTGCATGCGTGCCCAAGATCCCGAGAGGAGAATGGAGGAGAAGGGATTGCGGCGTGACCATCCCCCCTGGGGGGTGATTTCTCACTTTCTGTCTCTATGTCTCTCTCTGTCTGTCTGGCGAGCGCATGCGCCCTATAGCGAAAATCTCTCCAAAAAAAAAAGAAATCAAAATTTGGATATAAGAAATGCTTAGTGCTATTGAGAAGTCATTGTTTCTTTGCCCTTTCAATAGAAGGGCTCATTGTATATTTGTGTCTTTATTGTTTATAGTGAGAATTCTCATTGACTCTATTCTAAAATATACCTAAACTAGTTTTAGGTTTATTACATAAGTACCATATCCAGCAACAAATCTCTTAAAGTTCAGTGCTGCCTTATAATTCTTTTTGCCTTTAAAAAATATTTCTCACTGGGAACCAGCAGTTAGCGTAATGGCTATGTCGCTGGACTCCCACGTAGTCGACTGCGGTTCGTGTCCCAGACCCGGTGGCTTAAAACTCACGCCGGGCGCGAGTGCGTGCATGCCCAAGATCCCGAGAGGAGAATGGAGGAGAAGGGATTGCGGCGTGACCATCCCCCCTGGGGGGTGATTTCTCGCTTTCTGTCTCTATGTCTCTGTCTGTCTGGCGAGCGCACGCGCCCTACAGTGAAAATCTCTCAAAAAAAAAAAAAAATTCTCACTAAAGTCTAGGTTCCATGATTAAAAATTCTTTCAATGAATTATATTCTCTCATGTGATTGTATTATCCATTTGATATGTAATTTCATTTCTTTCTGGATTTATATTCTATTCTAGGGTTTTGAGTTTGTTTTGTTTTGTTTTGTTTTGTTTGAGAGGTTTTTACTATAGGGTGTGTGAACTCGCCAGAAAGAGAGAGAGAGACAGAAAGCGAGAAATCACCCTCCAGGGGAGATGGCCACGCCACAATCCCTTCTCCTCCAATCTCCTCTCAGGATCTTGGGCACACACGCACATGCGGTGGGGGGAGTTTATGCCACCAGGTCTGGGACTCGAATCACAGTCGAATACATGGGAGTCCAGTGACATAGCCATTACGCCAACTGCTGGTCCCCCCTGTTTTTTCTTTCTTTTTACACAGTTGGCCATGTCAGATACCCCTCATTTAATCAGCACATCATGAGTTCATACTTCATTCTATTTAAATTTACCTTTATTTTTGGAATATGTAAAACCTTTTATACATACAAAATATTTTGGAATATTTGTTTGGGTCACAAAGATTCACCTCTATCACTGTACTTTTCACCTTGTTCTGTTCTCTCTCAACTCCACCTCCATTTTAGGAAGGCATTTTTATAATGTCCATTTTGTTACTTTTCTTTGTATATGGTAGTGTGTGTGTGTGTGTGTGTATGCATGCATGTGTGTTGTTTCCCTTTGGTAAACAAAAAGTTCAGATTTTCTTTTATATCACTTATAAGAAATTATTTCTTAAAGAACTTCTCACTGTTCAGCTTTTGCAGCTTTCATAATAACATACATTTTGTTGTATTTCAAAATTTTTATTTTTCGGGAACCAGCAGTTAGCGTAATGGCTATGTCTCTGGACTCCCACGTAGTCGACCGCGGTTCGTGTCCCGGACCCGGTGGCTTAAAACTCACGCCGGGCGCGTGTGCGTGCGTGCCCAAGATCCCGAGAGGAGAATGGAGGAGAAGGGATTGCGGCGTGACCATCCCCCCTGGGGGGTGATTTCTCGCTTTCTGTCTCTATGTCTCTGTCTGTCTGGCGAGCGCACGCGCCCTACAGTGAAAATCTCTCAAAAAAAAAAAAAAATTCTCACTAAAGTCTAGGTTCCATGATTAAAAATTCTTTCAATGAATTATATTCTCTCATGTGATTGTATTATCCATTTGATATGTAATTTCATTTCTTTCTGGATTTATATTCTATTCTAGGGTTTTGAGTTTGTTTTGTTTTGTTTTGTTTTGTTTTGTTTGAGAGGTTTTTACTATAGGGTGTGTGAACTCGCCAGAAAGAGAGAGAGAGACAGAAAGCGAGAAATCACCCTCCAGGGGAGATGGCCACGCCACAATCCCTTCTCCTCCAATCTCCTCTCAGGATCTTGGGCACACACGCACATGCGCCTGGTGTGAGTTTATGCCACCAGGTCTGGGACTCGAATCACAGTCGAATACATGGGAGTCCAGTGACATAGCCATTACGCCAACTGCTGGTCCCCCCTGTTTTTTCTTTCTTTTTACACAGTTGGCCATGTCAGATACCCCTCATTTAATCAGCACATCATGAGTTCATACTTCATTCTATTTAAATTTACCTTTATTTTTGGAATATGTAAAACCTTTTATACATACAAAATATTTTGGAATATTTGTTTGGGTCACAAAGATTCACCTCTATCACTGTACTTTTCACCTTGTTCTGTTCTCTCTCAACTCCACCTCCATTTTAGGAAGGCATTTTTATAATGTCCATTTTGTTACTTTTCTTTGTATATGGTAGTGTGTGTGTGTGTGTGTGTGTGTGTGTGTATGCATGCATGTGTGTTGTTTCCCTTTGGTAAACAAAAAGTTCAGATTTTCTTTTATATCACTTATAAGAAATTATTTCTTAAAGAACTTCTCACTGTTCAGCTTTTGCAGCTTTCATAATAACATACATTTTGTTGTATTTCAAAATTTTTATTTTTCATATTTCTTGTTCATTCATATCCAGGGGGTCCTGGACGATCTACTATGCCAACCCCAGGAAATACTGCAGCTTTTCGTGCTTCCCTCTGGACCAATATGGAGAAACTTATGGATCATATTTGTGCTGTTTGTATACAGGTAAAAATTTTAGGAAGTGAAAAGAACATTAGTTATGTATTAACTCCCGGCTATTCAAAGTCGTGTGACTTGGGAAGGTCTTTTAAAATTTCTGAACTTTGCAAATACTTTGTTAGCTGATTATAATGTATGTAAAGGCTCTAGCATTAATGTCATTACCCTACCTTTGCTTTTATTTTTTCTTTTTACTGGAGGGTGCATGTGCTACTGGGTCGGGGGAGGGGGTTAGTGAGAAAGCACTTCCCTTGGGGAATGATCAAGCCATAATCCTTTCTCCTCCATTTCTCCTTTTGGAATTTTGGGCACAAATGTTCACACGCCTGGTGTGTTTTTCCAGCCACCTGGTCTGGGACTTGAACCACGCGGTGAGCCATCTGGAATCCCTCCACCTTAATCACCATGATACTAGGTGGCCTCTACCCTTGGTTTTTTGGGGTTTTTTTTTGTTTGTTTGTTTTGTTTTGTTTTTTTGAGAGGGGTTTTTGCTATAGGGCACATGCGCTCGCCAGACAGAGACAGAGAGACAGAAAGCGAGAAATCAGCCCCCAGGGGGAATGGCCGCAATCCCTTCTCCTCCATTCTCCTCTCGGGATCTTTGGCACACACACACACACGCACCTGGCGTGAGTTTTAAGCCACCGGGTCTGGGACGTAAACCGCGGTCGACTATGTGGGAGTCCAGCGACATAGCCATTACGCTGACTGCTGGTCCCTCTACCCTTGCTTTTTAATGCCTAAGCTTTTTATTTGTTTCCTTTGAAAATAGCTAATTAAATACATCTTCATTACTCTTTTTAGGTACAACATCTACAAAAAGTATTAGCCAAGAAGAGAGATCCTGTTTCTCACATTTGTTTCATTGATGAAATAGTTAAGGTATGTTTAAGTAAAAATATTTGAAGATATTAGCCAATTTCATTTATGTTACTACCTTCTTTTTTTTTTTTTTTTGAGAGGTTTTTGCTACAGGGTACGTGCGCTTGCCAGACAGAGAGAGACAGAGAGACAGAAAGTGAGAAATCACCCCCCCAGGGGAGATGGCCACGCCATAATCCCTTCTTCTCCATTCTCCTCTCGGGATCTTGGGCACACACGTGTGGCACACACGCCTGGCGTGAGTTTAAGCCACCGGGTCCGGGACTTGAACCGCAGTCGACTACGTGGGAGTCCAGAGACACAGCCATTACATTAACTGCTGTTCCCTATGTTACTACCTTCCATGGTGGCTACATACCTAGTGGCAATAGGGAAGTATATTTCTGAGAACTATAAATTTGCCTCATAATATACATATAAGCTTGTTTGGTTATGAAGTTGATGCTAGTAGTAATATTTATATACTAATTTCTGAAATACACGTAGTAATTTCCCATTTTCTGTCACATAAATTATATCTTATAAATGGTTTTAAAAGTGCCACTAGAGAATAAGAGGAAAAATTCAGGTAAATAAGTTAAGTAGTGGTTATTGTAATATGGTCACTAAAGGCCATCAGGCCTATTCAGTTGCTTATTTTTCCACATGACACATTGCTATATTCATTTTCCATATTCTGAAGTCTCCTGCTTGTCTTCTACCAATCTTTTAGCCACATGGGCCATATGCATTCCTTTCATGTAAAGGAATCCCTGATTTTATACTTTATTCTTTTGTTTTTTATTTGTTGGTATTGATTAGTAGAATAACTAGTTATTCTATTCATTAAATCTTAGCACCTAGTGCTCTGACGGAAAAAATAAAATTGGAAGTTTCTAGTGTCATAGCACAGGTAGTTTCCTTTGTAACTCCACAATTTTAAATATCTTATGTATTGTATTTGAGTCCCCAAGACCACCCTTAAGTTTGATAATTTGTTAGGAAGATTCTAAGGCATATATTAATCATTGTAGTCATAGCTGTGATTTATTACAGTGAAAAGATATGAAAGTCAGTTCCAGAGGAAACTAAATTCAAACTTCCAAGAGCCCTATTCCACTGGAGTTAAACTGGACCCTTTTGTCCTCCAGCGGCAACTGGTGATACCATGCATAAAATATTGGCTAATAGGGAAGCTCTCCTTGTGCCTTAGTCCAGGGTTTTTATCAGGGGTCACTGCCCAGAACATACCAACATCTACACTCCCAGAAGGAGAGCAGGTATTCAGTATAAACTGCGTTTATCCAAATCATTTAGTTACATTGAATGACTCTTATCAGTTATAGGATTGTGGGGTTCCCTTCCAAATCAGAGTTCCTAGATGCTAGCCAAAAGTTGGCATTTCTAATGATAACCATCTCAACCCTGCTGTGTTAACTCTCTGTACACATGCATACTTAAGTTAGTAAATGCCTGCTCACTTTACTATCTTCTACATGACCTTAAATTGTGTGAAATAAAGAAACACTAAGATGCTTTTAACAATTTATATAGTCACTAAGATTTTTGCATTTACTAGTGGGTGGGATAATTAATACCAAGTTTTCATTCCTTGTTCTGATTTTAGCTATTTTTCTTCACTAATTAATTGATTTAGTCTTTATGTTCAATGGCGTTATTTCAGACTTTTACTTTGTATGTTTATTTTATCTTTGTATATTTTTATTTCATTTTAAAAGTTTAATATTTTTCAAACAGTATAAGGACACTTACAATAAAGCCATTGTGTTCAAGAAGTTTTAAACAAAAGATTAAAAATAAAGAGGCAACAGAACTATGTAAAGAGGCTTAGGTGTGTGATACTATTATATCGGGCAGTTTCTACCTAAAAACATGTATCTCGATTCTTGTTAACAATAAATTATTTTAGTGAGTGAACCCTGCCAACTTATTTTGGCCAGCATTTAAGTACACGTGAACCATTACCTATGAAAAAGGATTATTAGGAATGGAGATACATGTTTTTACTTTATTCATCCATTTTATTTACTTACAGAATTTCTTATTTAATTAACAAACCAATAAGGATTCCTTATTCCAAAGACTTGGTCTTAGGCTGTTGAAGAATATAATCACACATAGCCCACATATACCTATTTACATTTATATATAAATTTTATGTTAAAGTAAATTGCCAGTTTAGGTATTTTTTTCTTCCTGGTTAATATTTGTGAAAAAAAAATTTAGTCCCTGTTGGAATTGATCATATTTACACGTATTTATTAAAAAAATCAGTCTTTTGGGACCAGCAGACAGTATAATGGTTACGCTGCTGGACTCCCACGTAGTTGACCATGGTTTGAGTCCTGGACCCAGGTGGCTTATTCAATTTCACATAGCAGAAAGAAGTATGTGTATTATTATGGTATTCAGAATCTAATCTGAGGAATAATTAAGAGGAAAAGAAATTCCACGTGATGGCAGTTTCCATAATGCTTTATAGTTTAGAAGGTTTTGCAGGTATCTATTGAGTTACAAGTATTGTATATCAGACTATAAAGAGGACATAAATTGAGTATAAAAATAAAACTAGACCAATTACTTCAGGTATAAAAAAAGCTTAGAGAGGACCAGCAGATGGCATAATGGTTATGTCGTTGGACTCCCACATAGTCTACTGCTGTTCAAGTCCTGAACCCAGTGGCTTGAAATTTATACTGAGTTGACCATGGTTTGACTCCTGGACCCAGGTGGCTTATTCAATTTCACATAGCAGAAAGAAGTATGTGTATTATTATGGTATTCAGAATCTAATCTGAGGAATAATTAAGAGGAAAAGAAATTCCACGTGATGGCAGTTTCCATAATGCTTTATAGTTTAGAAGGTTTTGCAGGTATCTATTGAGTTACAAGTATTGTATATCAGACTATAAAGAGGACATAAATTGAGTATAAAAATAAAACTAGACCAATTACTTCAGGTATAAAAAAAGCTTAGAGAGGACCAGCAGATGGCATAATGGTTATGTCGTTGGACTCCCACATAGTCTACTGCTGTTCAAGTCCTGAACCCAGTGGCTTGAAATTTATACTGGGCGCATGTACATGCATGGTAAAAATCCTGAGAGGAAGATGGAGGAGAAGGGACTGTGGCATGGCCATCCGCCAGGGGTGATTTCTTACTTTCTGTCTCTCTGGCAAGCACACATGCCCTATAGCAAAAATATTTCTTTAAAAAACAAAAACAAAGCTTAAGGATATTTTAGTTTAAATTTAGAGCATTTAAAAAAATTTTTATTGAAATATCTCTGCTTATTCTTAATTTAATAAATGCCCTGGCTACCTTGTAAAATTAGCCTGCTATTTTCTTCTTTTTTAAAACAATAATTATTTTATTTAACTTTATTTATTATTATTATTTTCCAGTTTGGTCAGAGAGAGAGAGAGAGACAGAGAAAGTAAGCCACCAGGGGGACCAGCAGGTGGCATGGTGGTTAAGGGGCTGGATACTCCCACATGGCTGACCCTGGTTCAAGTCCTGGACCTGGTGGCTTGCTTTCTCACTTTCCTTTCTCTCTCTCTCTAAAACTCTCTCTCTCTCTGTCTCTCTGATCAAATTAAAATAAATGAATGAATGAATAAAATTGAATAAAATAATTACAAAAAAAAAAAAAAGAGTAAGCCACCAGGTCCAGGACTTGAACTGTGGTTGGCCATGTGGGAGTCTAGCGCCCTTAACCACCACACCACCTGCTGGCCCCTAGCCTATTATTTTTCAGTTTATATAATAATTTGGAAAAAAAACCACATTCATACCTATCAATTCATGTTACTTAGGACATTTTAATGTTGAATATTCTTGTTCTCTTAATATATTGTGTCTTTATAATATTAATTGATAAGTCATTTTATTTTTAAATGGGAATTTAGATTGATTATTGAATATTAGAAATTTAATTTGGGGACCAACCACATTGACTAGTGGTTAAGAAGCCAGATCTCATGTGGCCATCTGCAGTATTAGTGCTGGCCCTGAATTGCCATGGCCCATGTGTGTGCCTGTCCCAAATCCTGACAAGATGGAGAAACGGAGAAGGGATAGAGGCATGACCATGCCCCACTGGGGGCACTTCATGTGTCTCTGTCTCTCTGGCGAGTGCATGCACTCTCTGGCAATTGAACAAAAAAGACAATTTTGATATCTTTAAAAACCTGTTAACAGTTCTAGTATCACTATATAATAATCAATAAGCAAAGTAACACTTGACTTGAAAATGAGTATAGCAAATTATTGACAAATTAATTGGGATCTACATAGTAGGAAATGTGTTTTAGATTCTCATCTGCAGAATTAAGCCAGTTTAGCTCTGTGTGGGAGTGTAGATATGATACTTCATTTTCTAAGCCAGCAGTTTTTATCATCGAACAGAATCTTGTAATCATGTGTGTAGGATGCATTAAGCTAAATTTGGAATGTGTTCAGCATTTTGAGCAGCTATAGTACTAATGAGAATTCTAACTATGAAAAAAGAATGTGTTTTCTTTTGCCCTTTTAGACTTATCAAATGATTTGATAATAGCATTAAAGGCTCTGCCCAGGAAAGTTTACAACACCCAAATTTGAAGTATTTTTAGTATTCTCAGGAAAATATTCAGCTAATTTATCTGTGACATCTCAATTTGATTAAAAAATTGAATAGTGATAATTTAGTTAGATTTCAAGGTCAGATATTATCTGTAAATACTCTGATCTATAAAGATTAGATTTCTGCTCTTACCGGTATGGGGACCAGATATTTGTAAGGGCTCTGTCATTACAGTATAAATAAATTCTAGATAAATTACAAAAAAAAAATTATATAAATTTTTAATGTATTATCAAGCGTGCAAAACAAAAAAAAGAGATTCTCTGAGGGTCGATATACATACATGTACACAGGCAGAAAAATAGTTGAAACTGTATTTATGAGCAGTAAGTGATTGTTAAAGATGGTGTTACCCTGGGGTCAAATGTCCTTGTC